AATAAAGAAATAAAGTGACTGACTGGAAGAAGTTAAAGATCAAAAGAACATTTACATACCTTTTTAAGGGCTTTAAAGTCGTGGCAAGTGGGTTGTGTTGCAACAATATGCCTTGCTACCATTTCGTGAAATCAGCCCCCTGTTCGAAGGTCACACTCTATGTTGTAGTCTTGTTGTAAAGTAGAGGTACACTACAGGTCAAAGCAATACGTTCTCGGGGGTCGCAGGTCAGGGGGGCATAGGTGGAGGCGTCGTCCAACAGGTCCCAGGTCTTCTGCAGGTAAGAGTCGAGGACTCCCCCCGAGATGCCAATGCCAGAAGGTAAACTGGTGACATCCTACCTGCGCTTTGAAGGGCCTCTCGGTAACGCCTGGGAATGGAAGGGCTGGGATGGAGGAGGGACTCGAGGGCCGGGATGAAAGCACCATGAAAGAGACAAGCATCAAACAAGGAGTTTCTATGAGAAGAAATGAAACGTTCAAAGGATGAAATAGTGTCGATAGAGAGCGCAATCCTGCCATCACCGATGTGGTGTTTGACAAAATACTTAGTGCCATGTTAGCATCATGTTTTTGGCTGGTCTTTTATATTGGTGTGGCTAACCATATTCCTCCCCAGATATATATATATATATATATATATATATATATATATATATATATATATATATATATACATGTTTACATATTTATTTATTTACACACACATATATATGTGTGTATGTGTGTCTATGTATATATTATATATAGAGAAAATTATTTATATTATATATACATAAATTATATATCATATATATATTACATATACATATGTATATTCTGAAATAGGTTTGCTCCTCAGGCGTCATATCGCAAGTATGAATTGTAGACAAATACAGTCGTGAAGAATTTCATGTTTATTAGACGTTACGAAGCTAAAACTAAACCTACATCATCAGTACTGTCAAAGAGAACTAATGGAAAAGTCAGTCAGACAATAGTAATTACAGGTGTCCGGTTCTAAATTTAAAATGTACAGAAAAACGATTGTAAATAAAGAATAAAGAATAGCAATATATACATAAAATAATTATATAATATAAGCCTATAACTGAGATAAAATACCATACATAAATTATAACAACCAATATGGTAAAACTAACCAAAGTGGATGGTTGAGAGGGTAGGTCTATTGAGTGAATAAGGTGGTTGCGGTGGTTGTATGCTTTAACTCAGGTTTCATCTTCTATATAAGCAGATATTCTGAGCTGATAAGTTTAGGCCGGAAAGAGAATGAGGATATAATATAAAAATCTGTGTTACAGAAAGGGTGTGAGTGAAGTTGGGAATGTTCTCTTAATGCGGAGAAAAATGGTTTACTCAGCGGAAGGCCGGTCCGGGAGGATTTGCCTTTGTGATCTAGGATTCGGTGTCGTAACCATCGTGAGGTAGATCCCACGTACCGAGCTTGGCAGCAAGGACAGTTAAATAAGTAGACTACTTTAGAACAAATGTCTGAGTTACATCTGAATAGTTGTTTTAGAAGTTTAGCAATATTGTTGGTGATAGTGAAGACCTGTGTCAGCAATTCATGGTTGTCTCATTTGGTTTTCTGACACTTGATGCTTACCGTGGTGGTGGGAATGCCAGCAGGCACTCCTGCCAACAGCCGATTGACCTAATCAGGCCAAGCAGGGCGTACTCATGCACGGCATCGCTCAACCTCCAGGACTCCCATCTCCACAACGCATAAGGGTGCCACGCACGGCAGACACGTGGGTAGGTGAGAATCCTTGGGGAGAGACCAGAAGGGATGCCATTCCATCTACAGAATAGGCATCATTGTTTGGAACCCTTTGCTCATCCCGCTCCACTGAGCCAGCCACCCAAAGGCTGGTTCACCTCAGAGAGGGAACTCAGGTCCTGCACCTCTCCGAGGCTGTTCCAGTGGGAGGATTCAACAGCGTCTGTAAGGATAAGGATAAGTCCGATATGCGAAGCTGATTCTCGCCCGGGCTATGGGGGAGCCCGGCCTGTGCCGACTAATGTCGACTCGCTAACAGTGTGTCAGCAGGTGCTGACTCGCGTGAGCTTAGTCCTTACCCACCGTGGTGCCCAGCCACAGCAGTAACCCCCAGGCGACAATTGCAACTTCTCGTGCCTGGGCGGGGCGCGAACCGCCGACCCCTCGGATGAGAGGCCGACACGTTACCATTGTACTAGCCCGGAGGCTACAGCGTCTGTAAGGATAAGTCCGATATGCGAAGCTGAGCCTCGCCCGGGCTATGGGGGAGCCCGGCCTGTGCCGACTAATGCCGACTCGTTATCAGTGTGTCAGCAGGTGCTGGCTCGGGTGAGCTTAGTCCTTACCCACCGTGGTGCCCAGCCACAGCGGTAACCTCCAGGCGACAATTGCAACTTCTCGCGCCTGGGCGGGGCGCGAACCGCCGACCCCTCGGATGAGAGGCCGACACGTTGCCACTGTACTAGCCCGGAGGCTACAGCGTCTGTATCAGTGAAAGGGTTAAGTACACGGGGGCTGTGTAAGCAAACAGGGAATAAGGGGAGCTCACGGTCCAATCAGAGAGCTGTGAGATGTCCATGTCAACCAATCAGGCAGTGAATTGCGAGAAGCGCCTATTGGTGAGAGAGCAATTGCGAGGCTGTGGACCTGATGTAACCCAACCTGGGCTATATGCGGAGCTGCAGGTTGCGGGTCGTGTTGCTACACTGAACAATAATCATTTTAACAATTTTTTAACAGAACACTGTAATGAAAGCACAGTAGTTACACTAAACTTTTTCATTTTTTGACATAGTTTATTTGGTATAATGAGTTAACTGAGTGATTCTTTCTAAATTCTAATAATTTCGAAATTCTAATAATGCAGGAGAAAATTATTGTAATAAGTAAAGCTTGGCTGAATGTTTCAGATGGGTGGATGCAATATTGAATTATGTTTGAATAATAACTGAACTACAATATTCTTAATTAATAAAAGTGGATTGTGTCAAAGTGGTACGCATTTATATGAAAGTCTGTTGTTATTTGATATGCCGTAACCTATAAATATAAAAAAAAAAATCGTTCATTTCAGTAACCGATCTCCAATACAATATAATGTTGCAAATGTAATTAGTATATATATGTGTGTGTGAGCATAAAATCTGTTTACAAGCATAGACATACAAACGCAAACACACTTACGTGTATATTTATATGAATATATATAAATATGTATATATATATATATATATATATATATATATATATATATATATATATGTACATATATATATATATATATATATATATATATATATATATATATATATATATGTATATATATATATATATATATATATATATATATATATATATATATATATATATATATATATATATATATATATATATATATATATATATATATATATGTATATATCTGCGTGTGTAAGTGGGAGTATAAGTGTATGTGTTTTTGTAAATATTTTTATTTACATATATATGAATATACATACATATGTATATATATACACATGTGTATATTGTAGAAGTTGTGTGTGTGTGTGTGTATGTGTGTGTGTGTGTGTGTGTGTGTGTGTGTGTGTGTGTGTGTGTGTGTTTGTGTGTGTGTGTGTGTGTTTGAATATGTATATATACATATATATGAACATACAATATATGTGTATATATACATATATGTATATATACAGAGTAATCGTCTTGTGCAGTATCATCTTTGGTAGCGTCTGTCATTAATTAGATATGCGAAACAAAGTCAAAATGCGTATAATTGATAAAACATAAAATGAAATCATGAGAGTAAATTGAAGTTATTATCAAAATAGAATGATAAATTAATAACCTGTGCTACGCTTTATCATTTATATTATTTTATCAAAGTAAGTATATTTACATCTTTAAAGCTAAACCGTTGAAATAAAACAAATGAATGAGATATTTAAGATTTACTTTATCCTTCTAACTTAAAACTATTATTATTAAATATTCAATATAAGTCCCCCGGAAAAAATAAAAGCACAACATAAATACACGTAAAAAGGACAATCTTAAATAAAAAAAAAATAATAATAATGCCTGGTACAGCTGCAGACACTCTGCAAGATCCAAAAAAGAAAAGCACAAATAAATAGCAAAATCTAACGGCGGTTGTCTGAAGGATAGGCGACCTTAGCTAACGCACCTTATTTTTGCAAACAAGGTCGTGCGCCCGGAGACTCATTTTCTTGTTAAAAGTCGTCTGCCTTCTCAGGATGTTTCTTTGGAAATACATATGCATTAACAGATTGCCGTGTGTATGAAAATGAAAAGGAGGTTTAGTGAAGAAAAATACCTAAAATGATATAAACTTTAAACGAAAGGAACATATATGTATAAATTTAAATACCCGATATAAATGATATCAGGGGGCTACCTACAAATGACTGTAGGTTTTCTCTCGGCCTTATCCATCGCCATCTTGGAGTAACTGTACCTACGAGGGCGACCTCCTGACGTCATCCTTCGCAGGCCTCGAATGGGACATCGGGATATCGTTATCTCAGATATCTCTCCTCGTAATGTAAAACTTTCCAGGGCGTCTCCATCCTTCTCCTGCAGTGCCTCCGCCAGGTGGTTCCCTCTGCAGCGCCTCCATCAGCTGGTACATTCTGCAGCCCCTCCATCAGTGCCTTCGTCAGTATCCTTGCGCCCTGGCCCAAACTTGTTATTTCGGTCTCGGGGACTTTTTAAGGGGGATTTGGATGATGCTGAGCGGGTGCGGGAAAGAGGCACTAAGGGCGGCACCTCACAACAGTATATACACACCTATGTGAACATATATATACATATTTATATATTCATACATACATACATACATATGCATATATATATATATATATATATATATATATATATATATATATATATATATATATATATACATGTGTGTGTGTGTGTGAGTGTTTGTGTGTGTGTATTGTCTTCATTACACCTTCATTTAATTTCCACGGTAAACTCTAGTTGATCCACATTTGTTTGGAGAAAATGTTAATATGCGCAAATATAAATATAATCATGCCAAGTAATGCCAGATATATCTCAGGAATATAAGCACCGCTTTGCAATTTCGGGCACCAAATTATAAATTGTATTACTGTCATATGTATACTTGCGTTTTACATTCGACTACAATTTCTCGACACTATTTTCTAGTTTACTGAAATTGCATAATTAAATACAAAAGGGAGAAAACAGTGGTATATACTAATGATACTGTAATTATTATGAGAACGCAACTATATAAGCATCTGGGCAAAGACAGAGAAATTAATCAAGTCACATACACGCACGCACACACGCACACACACACACACGCGCGCGCGCACAACACATAATTACTTGCGTTGGCCCAGCGCGCGCTCGTGCATGTGTGTGATCAAGAAGGGTAATTCAGAATAAATATCTTGAAAAAAAATCAACTGCAGTTCATTATCAATACATAATCTATAATTTCTAGGGAGCAGGTGTGATTCTCATTTATTTGATCTATTTGCATATTTAAAATGGACGTAACATGCACATTAAACACTGCAATAAGCTTACAATAGTCGCTTCAACTTTGGATGTTAACCGGTTCATTTGATCCAAAACTTTAATCATTTGCTTTTTTACATTGTGGAAAAGCTTTTAGTCATAGCTCATGCATTAAAAACCATCCCTTTTTGCATTAGATGTTGGCTTGTCCGTATCCACGGTTCTAATCTAATATATGTGTGTGTGTGTGTGTGTGTGTGTGTGTGTGTGTGTGTGTGTGTGTGTGTGTGTGTGTGTGTGTGTGTGTGTATGTACGTATGTATATAAGTATATATATATATATATATATATATATATATATATATATATATATATATATATATATGAATGAGGAAAATACTCTACCGTGTTGATACTATGGTAGAAAAACCCACAATGTAAAAACTGTGTGTGTGTGTGTGTGTGTGTATATATATATATATATATATAATATATATATATATATATATATATATAATATATATATATATATATATATAATATATATATATACATATATATATATATATATATATATATATATATATATATATATATATGGTAGAAAAACCCACAATGTAAAAACTATACGCTGTTTGACTTCAATTTCGCTGGTTCCATTTTCTGTTAGTGTTGCACCTAGATATTTGAATTCTGACACTTGTTTTAGTTGTTCTTCTCTAACATAGACCTTTACATTTCGATTTATGTTTCTCCCACTGACCATTACTTTACTTTTTTTCTGCACTAATTTCCATTCCATACCTGTGTAAGGTTTCATCCAGTTGTTTTGTTATTTCGGCTAATTCTTCTGCATTTTCCGCTATCAAGTTTATATCATCAGCAAATATTAAGTTGTTAACTACACGTCCTGTACACTTTATACCTCCTGAAAAAATTTCAAGGGCATCTTGTATTATTCTTTCCAAGAATAGATTGAAAAGTGTCGGAGACAAAATGCATCCCTGTCTAACACCGACTGTACTTTCGAACCATTCGCTGTAGTTGTTACCTACCCCAACTGTTATTTTTGCATTCTCGTACAATTCTTGGATAAGCCTTGCCATACCCTGGTTGATGTTATACTTGGCCATTGAATGCCATAGCGCTTCGTGCCATACTCTATCGAATGTTTTTTTTTAAAGTCGATAAAGTTATGGAAAACATTCTTCTGGTGGTTTCTCTGGCTTTCACAAAGAAGCCTTAGATTTGAAATCTGTTTCACTGTGCTTCGGTCTTTTCTGAAGCCAGCTTGTGATTCATCTAGAATTTCTTCGATTCCCGGTTTTATTCTATTTAGGATGATGGTAAGTAAGACTTTGCTAGGGTGACTTATAAGGCTAACTGTGCGGTGTTCACTACATTTTTTGCTCATTTTCTTCTTTGGGATGGGAATGAGGATGGACTGAGTCCATTGTGTAGGCCATTTACTAGTTTGGAGTATTCGGTTGCACAGAAGATGTAGGGTTTTGACAGTTGGATCTCCACCACACTTAATTAATTCTGCTGGAAGGTTGTCAAATCCAGGTGCTTTATTCATTTTCAACTTTATTATCGCTGCCCTTACTTCTGATTCTAAGATGTCTTGTTCTATTTCTCCCTCTGATGTAGCCTCTGCTAATAGTGTTCTATCAACGTCTGCTTGATGTTGGTACAACTCGCGGCAGTATTCTTTCCATCGAGCTGTCACTTCGGTGTTATTTGTTAACAGCTGACCAGTTTTATCCTCTATTGCATTTGTTCTTCCTGACTTCTCCCTTGTTAAGCTCTTTATTACATTGTAGGCTTTTCTAGAATTGTTTACTGCTAAGCTTTGTTCAATATCTTCAGCTTGCTTTTCAACCCATTCATCTTTTGCTTTAATGATAGCTCTTTCCACCTCCTTGTTTAACTTTCTATACTGGTCCAGATTTTCATTGTTGGTAAATCTATTCTTCTTACGTTCTCTTGTTTCTTCGCACTTTTGTAGGATTTCTGGCGTCACCCATGGTCTTTTAATTGGTTTGGCTTTTCCTAAAATCTCATTTGCTGTGTTGAAAAGTTATATCGGTGAACTTGTCACAAAGCTGCTGTGGTTCTTCATTTGTGAGCAGCAATAGTGGTGCAAATCTCCCTGCTAGTTCACTTCTGTATTTTTCTGCTAATTCTCTGTTTTTCAGCTTTTCCAGGTCAAACTTTGCGCGTCTGTGTGAAACCTTCTTCTCCTTTGAGAGTCGCATTCTAAATGTCATCATAACTGGATCATGATCACTACCGATATCCGGTTTTTTGAAAGTTCTCGTTTTCGGTCTGTTTTTGGAATCTTCTTTCCATAAGAATATAATCTATTTGATTATGTATCACTCCATCTGGTGAATGCCACGTTGTTCTTCTCGATAGTTTATGATTGTGGAGAGTATTAGCCACAACTAAGTGATGTCTTTTAGCAAATTCTAAAAGCATTTTACCTATATCATTAGTTTTTCCCACTCCAAAATCTCCAATAGTTCCTTCCCATCCGGTGCTTTCTTTATAGCCGATTTTAGCATTCCAATACATTATTACAAGAATATCTTTCTTTGCTTTGTCATTGATGGTTTGTTCTAGATCTTGGTAGAACTGTTCAATCTCTTCGTCATCACTGTTTGATGTTGGTGCATATATTTGAATGACTGTCATATTGCGGGGCTTCCTTTTTGGTCTGATTGTAATTATTCTGTCAGAAACGGGTGTGAATTCGATCACTGACTTTGCTGTTTCTTTTTCAACCAGAACTCCCACGCCTCTTATATGTTTCTTCTCATCACCGCTGTACCACAACTTGTGCCCATCTTCAGTGTTCAT